GAACAGTGGAAAGAATAAGGACAGCGTGTGGCCTGGTTGACCCACCTAGGAGTACAGAGCCATAGACATCGATGGCCATGACTGCTACTTTCCAGCCTTTTTCTCCTATGGGAGTTTAGAAGTCCCACATCAGAACAGATGTGGATTTAACATGAAATGGACTGCAAAATGCATACAACACTTGGCTTAAAGTTCAAATTTTTATACCCAACAGCTTGCTCTGGATTGAAACAGTGAAAGGCCTAATGGGTAGCACTGTCAGGGCCCAGTAGGGGGCATACTGCCTCCATGGCACATTTGCTCCCCAGGCTTCTGCTGTGAGGATGTTGGGAGCAGGAAGGCTGTCATTACCCCATCTTTACTGCCTGCCTTACAGGTGCTGGGGGCCAGGCATCTGCCGAAGAATGGCCGAGGTATTGTATGTCCTTTTGTGGAAATTGAGGTGGCTGGAGCAGAATACGACAGCATCAAGCAAAAGACAGAGTTTGTAGGTCAGTCAGCGTTCCTCCATTACCAGTCATTCTCCTGGGGGTGACAAAGACCTCTCTCTACCAGTCAGCCAACCTCTTGATGTGGCCTGAGCTTTTGCCCTTGCTTCCACAGTGGACAATGGACTGAACCCCGTGTGGCCGGCTAAGCCCTTCCACTTCCAGATCAGTAACCCTGAGTTTGCCTTTCTACGCTTTGTGGTGTATGAGGAAGACATGTTTAGTGACCAGAACTTCTTGGCTCAGGCTACTTTCCCAGTAAAAGGCCTGAAGACAGGTAAGGGATCTTCCTTGACATGCTGTTCTTTGGTCTTACTGTCAGGGTGGAACTGATCCACTTGCCTGACACGTGCTGGGCTGAGAGCCAGGTGTTTCTCCTAGGATACAGAGCAGTGCCTTTGAAGAACAACTACAGTGAAGACCTGGAGTTGGCCTCCCTGCTCATCAAGATCGAAGTTTTCCCTGCTAAGGTAACGACAGCACAGTGAGCAGAGAAACCCACCCCACCCCCAGGTGTAGAAGAGACCTCAACTTCTGTGCACTTCCCCCTTGCTGAGCAGGAGAATGGTGACCTCAGTCCCTTCAGTGGTACATCACTACGGGAACGGGTCTCAGATGCCTCCAGCCAGCTGTTCCATGTTCGGGCCCGGGAAGGCTCCTTTGAAGCCCGATACCAGCAGCCATTTGAGGACTTCCGCATCTCCCAGGAGCATCTCGCAGACCATTTTGACAGTCGGGAACGAAGGTGAGGGTGGTGAAGGGGAAGTTGACCAGTGTGGGAACTTGGAGGAAGGGTGTTAGAGCCAGAAAGAACAGCACTATGTGTTAGGTCAATCCTTTGGCAGCTTTCTCCTGTGTGGAAAAGTGATAACTGTGTTTCTTTGGGTTGTCCTATCTGGCTACAAGGTCAGTAAGAATGCTTCACTTCTGTTCAGGGCCCCAAGAAGGACTCGGGTCAATGGAGACAACCGCCTCTAGTCGTGCCCCCACCTTGTTGGAGAGCAGCAGGTGCTGCCCATCTTGTGGAATGCCATGAACTAGGTTCTCTGGGAGCGGCCCACTGTAAAGCCTTCCTGGTCTCGCAGCCTGGAGCCTGGATTCCAGCGGTGAAGGCTAGACAAAACCAAGCCATTAATGAGATGTATTGTTTTGGGCCTCAAAGCCCAGCTCTGGGTGAAGGCAAAAAACTGTACTGTGTCTAGCATTAAGCACACATATCTGGCCCTGAATATGGAGGTGGGTCCTTCCATCTTGGGCCAGGATCAGGGCTGAAGCCCCTTGGAGAGAGAAGTTGCCACAGTTGGTGGCATAGGAGGCTTCAAGGAGCTGTTGACATTCCTGAGAGTGGAGGAGGAAGAAGAGCCTTGCTGGGCTAGGGAAACAAAGTTTACATTGTCCTGTAGCTTTAAACCCACAGCTGGTCAGGGTGAAAGAGTAGATGCCCTGCAGTTTGGCCCTGGATGGAGCCAGGACAGAAGAATGCAGGGCCTAAGGAGAAGGCTCTGCCCTGCCTGAGGAGGAAGACACAGCACAAGGGCACATTGCCCATGGCTGGGGATGCCACCCAGCCTGAAAGATACAGGGGATCATGATAAAAATAGCAGTATTATTTTTTCCTCTTCTTGGTGGTATTGTAACTAAGTTATTCAGTCCTGCCCCTCACCCTGGAAGGGGAGCCCCAGCATAGAGCCTTTGGAAACAGTTGTTCTATGGGGTGCAGGAAGAGAGAAGAGCAACGCCTACCCTGGTGAGCTTTTTTGTTTTATGGCAAGGAAGACTCAGTATGCTTTCCCTTAGTAATGAAATGGAGAATAGGTAGGTGGAATAAGGCAGTAGGTACCAAATGAAGCCACTGCTAGGCACAGCTTCTGTGTCACTGGTAAAAAGATGCAGAGGAGATGGGAAGGCTGGGAAGGCAGCCTTACCTCTGAAAACAGAGGCTGGGGTCCAGGCCCGTGGGCATAAAGGTGCCTCAGCATAGCCAGCATTCAGCACACACAAACCCACTGCCCACATTTGGGCTCAGGGTTGGCCATTTGCTAGTTCTGCTGCCCTCTTAAGATCTGACTGCCAAATAAATCATCCTCATGTCCTTTTTAACTTGTTTGTTTCTTGGGGGCTCAGGAAAGCATGGTGATTGACTGAGAATAGAAGCAAGTGGTATGGCATTCTTGGAGACTTCTGAAACACGAAGCTCTTCCATGAGTCTCTGAAATGTGAGGTCACCTCTGCCATTTCATCTTCTAGTGGTACAGCTGAAGTTCACCCCACCTAGGAGCAAGTTCAATCTCTAGTGCACAGAACCCTGTTTTTAAAAAGTAATGTTTGGATATGTGCTGCCAGTTGCTACTCTACTTGCCTCTCGACCTGCCAGCCTCTGTACTTACAACGTGCTGCTCAAAAGGCCTGACTATTCCCAGGGCTCTCCTACAGCACTTTCCTGGAGCGGGACAAAAACTACGGCCCAGTGAGCAGTGTGCACCCTGTGCTGAACTAGCTCCTTGGGTCACACAGCACTAAGCACCTGAGTGCTGGCTGGTCTTTAGTGGTCATCTAAAGCAGTAGTCTGAACCTGTGGGTTGTGACCCCTTTGGGTTTACATATCATACATTATGTAACAGTAACAAAATTAGTTAAGAAATAGCAAAGGAATTATTTTATGGTTGGGGATCCCACAGGAGGTACTGTAAAGTTTTCCTATACTAGCATAGAAGGGAAGAATCCTCCCCTACAAAAATAGTGAGTGGGATGTATCAGGAGCTTTGAGTTCACACTTGAGTCTGTGGCCCAGGAGAACGTAGGAGCCGTGTCTGTTGGTCCTCAGTGTTGATGTGCTTGCTGCTAAGCACTTTCTCAATAGATACCTCTATTTCATGAACAAGTCTTCCGGGAGAGGCTCAGCTCTGCCTTCCTTGAGCAGCTTCATAGACTGTGGTTCTCTCGTTTTGGCACCTTACCACATTTCCTTTCCAGCTGTGTTTTGATCCTTTCCTCAGTGGAACAGACTTAGGATCAGTTTCATCTCTTAAGTTCTTCAGGTGATCCTGACTACTGTTGACCAACACAGAACACCCAGCAAAGGGGAAAAATGTTAGAGAGAAATGACCTGGGCCTTAATGTCTTGGCACCTGATGCATGTTGTATGTCCCTACATGTGACAGCTTGTGTGACACTGCCTTCATCCAGTGGGTTGTGACCTGTAGAGTCTCAGCTATGTGGTGCTTAATCACACCCTCGGGTGCATCTGAGAAATACTGACACTGGGGCCTTGTATGGATATTCACAGACTCCTTGGGGCATGAAAATGAGTGCTCAGGGTAAAAACCACCGGCTTTGGCAGAAGAAACCAAAAGAGTGGGGTTGGAAATGAAGTCAGTGGTACTAGGAACACAAGCCAGGAGAAGTGTCCTTGTTTTTGGCTAGCAGGCCAAGGACAAGTAAAGAGGGGTCACTAGTGAACACTTACCAAGAGAGCACTGACTACAACGTCAGGGGCATTCTTCGTCCTGCCACAGACTGAAAACACGGGTTAGAAGGCAGAAACAGTTTGCAGCCTTTACTAAGAAAATTCATTTACAGGTAGCTGTGCCCTTAGCAAGAAGAGCTGGGGCTCACTCCTGGTCAGACTCACCCTGAACTTCAGCTGAGGACTGAAACTGGACAATCCTCATTCACCTTGTCCATTATCAGATCTATTGAAAAGTGGGGAGTGAGTGTGAAGTTACTTTACAAAACTAACTTAGTGACCAAAACAAGCCCAGCCTGCCTTATATTTTAATGAAATGGATCTGGTCCTTAGAGGCTTCTCCAGAGGACGTATGCCAGCCTGTTCTTACTAGGAATCGTGTAGCTCCCAGGTAGCTGCCGTCACTATCTCCACCCAGTGTGTTCTGGATCTGTCCACCAGGACCTCAGGAGACAGCTCCATGGTTTTACACTACCTTAGTCAAGTTACCTGGTCCTTTACACCCAACACAAAGCAGCTCCTTGAGGACCCAACTGGCCTTGGAAGGAGCAGGCCCTGATGCTGTTTAACTGCTACCCCTTGTTCTTTACCAGGTGGGTTTCTTTTAGGAGCCCTTTTTCCTTATGTGATAGATAGGCCAGTGTGGTCATCCCAACACAAAATTTCAGTTGCTTTGAGTCTTGGAGGTGTGGGTTTGACCCTGGTCCTCTAGAAGGTTCCTAGGTCTTCCTACCTAGTGACATGCCTTCCTTAGCAAATGGCATGTTCTGCTGACAACTCTTCTCACCAGAAAAAGGAACACAAGAAAACTTGCCCATGTCCTGTGGCTCTAAGATCAGACTTGGCTGACTCAGCAGGGTTTTAAACTCCATAGTTGTTTCACAGGGGGCCGCCAGACAAGTGAATGGAATGTCTTCCCGGGCGCTGAGGAAAGCCCCAACATCAATCGATTTTAAAGTTGGATTTGCAAAAACAAATAAATCAATAGAAGGGTTTTGACCTTTTTATTAATTCCCCCCACCACACACACATACACAGTCAGCAGATAAGAAATGTCTGTACATTTTTATTTAGGAACAGTCAAAAGATTGGAAGTACCACTGAGGCCAATTTCAAACTACATAAGCAGTTTTGCCCCTCATCCCATCCCTTATCCAAATTTGCAGATACAAAATCTAAGAAATGTGCAATTTGCATCTTAGAAATAGCAGCATCCCCATGGGGGACCTTATGTGGAGGTCAGCCACACACCTCCCACCACACACAGCCCACACCAAAGGCCAAGGCCGTCTTTCTATTCAGATGTTTCTCAGGGTAAAGGATTCCCACATTCCAGCAAGGTGTGGCCCATGCCTGCCTGTAACTCAGTGCTTGGGAGGCAGAGGCAAGAAGAATGTCCAAGTCTAAGGCCAGTCTGGTCTACAAAGTGAGTTTCAGACCAGCCAGGGCCACACAGAAAATTCCCACTCCACAAAGGCCTATGTGACAGACAAGCTATTTCTCAATTTCCTCTCATAGCTGGTCACAGTAGCAGGTGACTCTTGATTAGCACCAGGGTGATCACTTCAGCTGTTCCTGGGAGACAGGAAGCAGACCAAAGGCAGACTGTTAAGTCATCCCCCAGTCACAGTTCTCAGCAGTATGGCCCCTGAGGACAAAGCCATCCACACTGAGATCAGAACATAAAGCAGGTGCTGGAGGACCAGGAACCAGGACATTGTCAGCAAGGAGTCTGCAGGTCCTTGGCAGCCTCCCCAACTTCCCCAAGGGCTGTGTTAGAACAACTCAAAGAACAATAGTCAGCAGGGGCCAGAGAAAGGTTGGCCAGTTTTCTCTGTTTAATAACATTATGACACAGTCTGACCTTCCTGGCAAAACTGAACAAAGCAGGCTACTCAGAAGCATGGGCAAGAGATCTCTGCCCTAGTGACCACTGCTGCCCTCGGCCCACCCAATTCCACAAGGAGCAACCCAACTCACGCTGGAACTCTGCTGGCTCTCACTGCGGCCAACCTCCTCACATGGAGCCCTGACCCTGAGCTAACAAAGCCACATGAACAAGACTAAGCTGTGTGGGCAGGAGCTAGGGACAAGATCTCTAAGCACAAACTGCGGGTTAACAGGGACCACTTTATAATAGATTTTCACTGGATGGAAATGTCTTTTCGGGGACTTGCTTGGGAAGGATCAAGCACTGGCAACCCTTTCTATATTCAGTGTCTGAGCAGGCTTTATCATAGACATTTTACCTTCAACTCCACTTGTATAGAGTAATTCTAAATCACCCACCTTCCATAGAAGGGAATACGTGTCAAAAGACATTGGCCAAGAAAAGCTATTAACACACAGGTGCCCATCTATGTGTGCAGTACACCGCTCTCTTGACAAAAGAGGCACTGATAGCAGGTAAATGTGCAGGTCCCTGTTGGGTGTCCTGACTTGCCATCCGCCCACCCTTATAAACAGCAGGAAGACATCATGCAGCCAACAGTCCCTGCCAAATAGCTAGCTGTTTTCTCCCTGTTCTGCCTGGTTCCTGCCAGAGTAAGAGCAAGGTCTAGCTCAAGGAGGGCAGAGACAACAGAGCAGTAACTATACTGAACCCATTCAGCCCTGCAATCCATATAAGAGACAGAACCAAAGGAAGCAGGTACTTATTTCAGTCCTTCGGCAACCGGGGTCTGCCTTAGTCTCATTTCTACCCTTGCTCCAGACTTCAGAGGGCTTGAGAAGAGGTGTTCCTACTAGACCTGAGCTAGAAAAACCTGTATTTTTCAAGTCTAGAGGTCTGGATCCATAGGATTGCTGGCTAGTGTTGACAAGCATTCACACCCCAAAGCAGGTTCTCAGTCCTAAGACCATAGACCCAGTGAGCTTCATGACCAAGTGCAGGTTCTGGGCTCTGAGTGCACCTAGGTTTGTCACTCCACACAGCCACCCTTAGTGGCCAGGCACTAGGAACACAGACTGCAGCAAAAATGGATCCTGAGTACTCAGTTTCATTTGGATTCCTTCTGAAAACCCAGGTCGTGATCAAAACAGCGAGTAATCTGATCAGTTCTGTCACACCACTCAGTCAATGCCAAACCCGGCTGTTCCACTGAAGGCCCAGCAGCCTCATGAGCCCTGGAGTATACTGTGCAGTCATTTGCCTGCTCCACTGAACCAAGGCAGAACAAACTGCAGTGTGGCTAATTCAGGTTGAAGTCTAGGAAAGGGCTATGCTTAGAGAAAACCTGTGGGCTCCAGTGCTAGAACACATGGAAATCACCCCCTAAAGGTCTGGGAAGGATGGTGGTGAGCAGTGTGCTCTTGAGAAAAAGAACAGGGAGTTAAGTTAGGGATGCTAAAGAGGGGGTGGTTCCAGTCTGGAGTAAGGAAAACCAGGCACCTTGCTAAACCTTGGCCAGGATGAGCTAACCAAAGATCTTTGTGTATCTAGAAGACTTTCAGACAGATGAGCCTTGCGAATGAATTCCATATAAATTCCTACGCAAAGATGGATGGAACCAACAATCTTCTCTGGGAAACAGCCAGTAAAGGTGGGAGCTTTAGGAAAAACACAGATTCTAAGTTTTGTTTTAGGATTTTCTTCTTAGCTCATTTCCGAACTGACTTGAGCTGCTCCAATCTGAGGATTTTGGTCCATACAGTGACTAGGAAAATGAAAGGCAATGGCTCAAGACAGGGATAACTTAACAGTCCCCTGGGGGACAATACAAGAGACTCTAACCAGAAAGGCTGCCTCCCATGCTCCACACAAGGCAGTTGTGTGACAGGTGTCCTAGAGCCAACAGGGAGGAAGGGGCACAGGTGTGGCATTAGCTACTGACAGAGTAAGTAAACTTTCTGAGAGCTATCTGGGCCTGGAGAGTGCTAAGCTTCCTGGTAGGAGACATTTAAGGTCAGATGGGAACAGACTGGAGGGCACAGGCAGATATCTACTGGGTCTCACTCAATTATTCTGCTTCCAGAGGGAGGGATGCCTCAGGCTAAGGTATTCTGTTCACCTGAAAGCTGCTACCACTCAGCCAAGAGAAAAGTAAAAGAGCAGTCACTAGTGTCCTCAAAGTGCTGGCAAGCCACCCAGGGAAAGGGCTTCCCACGTTGACACACCCAATTCCCAAAAGAAAAATCTCTATGATCAAAAAATATTTGGATCAAATAATATACAAAACCTATAGTTCAGATTTCTGTTAGAATGGGATGTGGTTTAAAACTGATCTTACAACCCTGTGTAAGTAGAAAAAAATAAAACATAATACAGACAACAAAGAACACTTAGCGTTTACTGCCTCTGGTAAGTCCAAGTGAATGGTGAATGCAAATGATGTGGCAAGACTCATCTGACAGTGCAAGCTTTGTCAGGAGAAGCACATCCCATCCCACCTCTGTACAAGGCCACTGTGATCTATCACATAGCAGCCACAGACCTGGTAGCCGCCAGCTTACACCCTCCTTCTCTGTCAGTGCACTCCTGCTTGGTGCCCAGAGAGCTCTTCTCTGAAGCACCTGCTCCATGACCACCTACCTCCTCATAATTACCTACCAACATAAGGTCCAAGCCACAACTTCCCTCCCCCATCCCAAAGCAAAGGAAGAAACAAGGTCCATTTCATCTGTTTTGTTTCTTACCTGGGCAGTCTTGCCATCACCAGCTCTGAGAAAGGTATGCTGGGCCAGTGTTACTGCAACTTCCCATCCAGATGACTGCCTGGTGCTCTAGTCCAGGCTGCTATCTGTGTCCAGCATAGTGTCCACCAAGTAATTTAATTTTTATGTTCCTTGTCAATTGTTCAGACCTTTTCATAGACTCTACCATTCAGCTAGTGCAGCAGGGCTGTATAGGTGAAGCCAGCAGGCATCTGGGCTCAGGTGAGACACAGGTGCTTTCTTAGACAAGATGGCTTCCTCGGCTGCTCCAGCTGCCCAGTGTATTGTCATCTCTTCACACATAGGCTGCTTCCCCCTTGGGCATCCACATGAAACTCATGTGTATATGAGATGTGTTTGTGTAAGTATCAAATAAGTATGTGTACTGTATATGTGGATATGCCGATCTGCACGTAAACAAACACTGAAGGAAAACTTTCAGATGTCTGTTCTCTGAAGGAAAGCAGTCACTCACCATTCTTTCCAATTCCTCGAGGTTTGGGGCCAAATAATTTCTCCCCCCAAACGGAAAGGATACAAAAATAGACTGCAAAACTTGCCAAGTAGTCAAAAAAACCCCACTCTGAGACAAATGTGAGGTCATCCCTATGGGGACAGGAAAGGCAAGAGAAACATCTTATAATGGTTCCAGGGCTCTGGGTTCCAGAGAAAGCCCTCTTTCCTAGAAGGCTGAAGGCCGCCATGCTTGTCTCAGACTACGCAAAGCCTACTGCTCCCTGTGAGGGGAGCCAAGACAACACCTAGAAGTTAACCGCTGTTTCTTGGTCAAAATTCTTGCCCTGCCTGTGGCTCTACTGGTGGAGTTTCCAAGAGGTAAGTGGGGTCATGGATAACACATCCTGTTTGTTATCTTTGTCTCTCCCCTGCCCTGCTTTATCCACTGCTCTTGGAGAAGCCAGCCTTGGAGACACGGAAGCTTTAATATTTAGCACAGCTCCATAAGCAAAGTTTTCCATTGTTTCAAAGGCACCTTTTCTTGTGATTTTAATCCAAAGGACACAAGGCTTAGGCAAAAGTAAATTCTTGTTTCCCAGGTTGGGAATATAAATTTAAAACTTTAAAAACACCTCACAGGAACCTATCCAGTGATGTCCAGCACCTCTGGATCACGAAACCAGTAGTTGGTCAGGCCCTTGGTGTGTGGCAGGTCTTTGTTTTCAAGACCACTCCAGCTCTAGTCATTTAAAAACTCCCACACACTTCAGCCTCACTCTTCCTACCAGCCAGAGTGTACTTCCTTCTGACCCGCAGGAGGCATTGAGAGCACTATGGTGACCAAAGCCACAGCAACTGGCTCTACCCTGCCCACTTTCCTTTTTCTCTAAAGGAGTCTGAATTGAAGGGCTGAAGGGAGCATACAGGTCAGTACTCTAGGCTCTACAAAAATGGCCTCTTTAGCTGATCTGATAATGGAGAAGTTGGTCCATGATTCAAGCGCCATGAAAAATCAGAATTGCAGTTAACTAACGAGAGTGATAAGCATCCAGTAGTAATCTCATAGCTGGGCTGTTTTCAGAACTGAGGATAACAGTAGGCTCTATCAACCAGAACACAGGCAAGCCTTGCATGAAATGTGGCTTGCCTCCACTCAATGTTGCGGGTCTCTTCAACAGTTCTGTTCCCTTGAGAAGGCAAGAAGGACTGGGCCTCAAGCAGTTCTGAGCACACCCGTAACTCCTGCTCCTTACAGAAGATGTGGACCCCTATGGTCTCAGCTTCCCAGAGAACGGACATGGCATTGTTAGAGCTGTACTGCTTTGCTAACCCGAGTTCCTGTGGATTGAGAGTGTCTGTAGTTGGATGATTTATTAAATGTATATAGGCAGCTGTATATGCTAAAAACTTGATTCTAGGTCTATGTAATCTGAACTGCTTTGTCTCCGGGAGGCAAAGGAGAGGTCCTGCACAGTGGGAGGATGGGCTGATGAGAACCCCTTGCTACTTGCTTAGAAGTGTCAGGCAGAGGATGGTTAGGGCAGCGGCAGGTTCCAGGCTCAGTGAGGCCTCCAAAGTCTCTCTTGGGTGCCTGGCAGCTGGCCATCAAAATGATGCACGGCAGATTTGGCCCTTCCACATGGTAGACAGCATCCCAGACTGGTCGGTTCTTCACAGTAATCAGAACAAATTCAGTCTGTTTCTGAGGAGAAAACACATACCTGTCACTCTATGGCAGCTACAACTTGTACAGTTCCCAGGAATTCCCAGTCTGTCCTCACTCTCCTGGATAGTATCACTGGTCTTAGGGATTCCTTAATTCCATAAGTAATACCATGTCCTCTCATTCACCAGTCTGAGGGAAGGTAAAAGAGCAGAGTGTGGGTTAAGGACAGAGTGCTGGCTGAATCTGACAAGGCCTTTCGACTTCCTGGCCTCCTGTTAATCACCTAGCCCATCCCATCACCACAACCACAGACCCCTGATGCCTGCTACCCCTGTATTCTAACAGTTAATCCTGCATCCTGGCCCCTAAAAGCCCTGAGCTCTGGCATCTTGGTACCTCATATCTTCGTTTATAAAGGTCAGGGCAGCTGATCATAAGAATCTCATCCCTTATGTACAGATTGGGTCTTTCCACTGAGGCTGTGGAGGAGCATAAGAAGCCAGGGTACAGATAACAGAAGCCTTGGAGGCAGTGCTGCCACTAGAGTACGGCTGCCCTTACCATGTCTGCTCTGTTCTGCCATGCCTGTTATTTCCACCCTCTCATCCCATCTCCAGCCTAAAAAAAAAAATCTTGGTACAATATACCTAACACTAAATTTCTCATTACAGCCATATGGCTCAGTAGTATTATGTACATTTCAGTTATGAACCCTCACCGTTTTCAGAAAGTTTTCAGCACCATAAACAGAAGTTATGTATCCACTATTCAGTAACTACCAATTCTACTCTGAGAAGTAACCTGTATTATACCTTCAATTTAATTGATTGATTGATTGATTGAGACAGGGCATCATTGTATAGACCAGAGCTTGCTTCAAACTTTCAGTTCTCCTACTTCAGCCTCCAGAATGGTGATATTACATCTTTAAAAAGATTTTAAAATCTTTAAAAAAAAACTTTGTTTTGCTGTTTTGAGATAGGGTCTTGCTATATATCCCAGGCTGGCCTGGAATTCATAATCTTGTCTCTGCTTCCTAAATACTGATTTAGAGGTATGAGCCATCATGCATGCCTGGCTCAACATCTTCAAATGTTGATGTAGTCCAATTTATTTTTGTTGCCAGTGCTTTTGCTGTCATAATTAAGAAACCTCTGCCTGCTGGGCAGTGGTAGCACACACTTTTAAGCCCAGCACTAGTGAGGCAAAGGCAGGCAGATCTCTGTGAATTTGAGGCCAGCCTGGTTTACAAAGCAAGTTCTAGGACAGCCAGAGCTGTTACACAGAGAAACTCTGTCTCAAAAGAAAGGGAGGAGGAGAGAGGGAGGGAAGCGGGGTGGGGGGAGACAGACAGACAGAAGAAACCTCTGCCTAATCCAAGGTCTGGAAGGTTTTCATCTGTATTTTTTTAAGTGTTTTATCACTTTTGCTTGGCAGATCCATTGATCCATTTATATCTATTATTTCTATAATATTTTCCTTTCCCTAAACTAACCAGGACCTGACTATATCTTAGTCTAGCCTCAAATTTGCAGTAGGCCTCCTGCTTCCACCTCGCATGTGCTAAGATTACAGGCATGAGTTACCATACCTGGTTAAGTTTCTATTGATTTTAAAGTCTTCCATTTCCTTACTGATTTTGTTTGATTTCTGCTTCTTTGTGTGTGTGTGTGTGTGTGTGTGTGTGTGTGTGTGTTGAGAATTTCTCACTATATTGTCATGTCTAGTCATAAACTCAGTGAACTCAAGGGGATCTTCCTGCCTTGGGCCTATGCTATCTTACCTAGCTTCTTTGTGGGTTTTATGTTCAGTACCGAAAATTCAGTATAAAAGTCTCCAAGTATTTTTGCTTATTTCCCTTTAATTCTGTCCATTTTTTCTTTATATACTTTTGGACTAGTGTGTATATTAATAACTGCTAAAACTTGTATCAGACATTTTAACATATAATATCCTTATCTGTCATAAATGTTTCATTCAAAGTATTTGCTCTCACCATAATAAAGCTATATTGGCTTTCTCTGTACTTACTCTTTGTCTGACTATCTGAGGCAGGAAAGCACTGGAGACAGTTTGGCTTGGGACTCCATTTGGTTTTGATTATGCACACACAATACCCCGGTTGCAGTAATGCACTTGGCAGCCTAGTTCCTTCATCTGCATGTGCTATACACACATACCCTTCTCCAAATTGCACCTTACAACCTAAGAAACTTCAATACCCCACCTACATTAGGCTGCATGTGCTCCCATTTGAACCTTGGTATGCTCCCTGATGTTGATAGTTTCTATTCAGTCTATTCTCAACTTATATGGGTATGAGAGTAGAAGGGCCAGTCTGGCTTGAAGTGGTTGTGGGTGCATGCGCAGTAAGATAAAACTATGTCTCCTAGTAATATCTCATGGAGAATCCCCTATTTACCATTTCATGTCTCTGTATAATTGGTTGGGCATATAGTTAAAACAAATGAATTGTGGGAAAGGACATGCAGAGAAATGATTATATAGTCTAATATACTAATCAAGACAGAGAACCACCCAAGTGTACCTGTTAGTAACCAGCTTCTCCTTCTCTTGAACCCCATAAAGGAATCCTGGGACAACAATCAGGGCTCATGAGTGTTCTCACTTGTGTAGCGTGCTGTCAATCACGACAGTGTCTCCCTGGAGAACCTGCGGTATTGCTTTGCTTCTAATGAAGTTATCTTGCTGCTTCTGCACATCTGTGTGGTCCTTGATTTTCAGTTCTTTGGATAAAAGACCAGGAGCCTGGAAACATCTTGGCAAGGATCCCAACCACTGGTAATTTTCCTCTATCCTTTACCTTCCACTTCTTTTTTGTCCCTGTATTGTAAGTGAATCTCTTATAGATAGTATATAGATGATTCTGGTTTGGTTTCATCCAATCTACCAATCTTTGTCTTTAGAACAATTTAATCCATTGGTGTTGCACATGATTACTGATAAAGAAGGATTATTCTTGACATTCAGCTACTTGTTTCTTTCTTAGTGTTAATTTTTCAAACCTCCCTTATTGCCTTTTTGGATATTTACTTATTTTTCTCAGTGTACTCAGCTTGACTCCTTTATATTTTTGTTATTTTCTAGATTAACTTGAGGATTGTCACTAACACCTAAGACTTGAAGGAATCTAACCTGATATCACTCAGTTTCCATGTTTCTCCCCCCTTGCTATTCACTGCATTGTTATTAGTGACTCAGGCTTCATCTTCATGTTACTAACACAGATTTGTACTTTATATAAAGTATGCCTTTAAAATCATACAGGGAAAATAGAAAAATGCAAACCAACTTAAAAGTACAATGGTACTGGCATTATATTTACCTATAAAACTACTTTTATTATGGTTATTTTTTTCTTGTGGCTTCAAATTACTATTCAGTGTTATTCCATTTCAGCCTGAAGGGCTCTTGGTAGCATCTCCAGTAGGATAACCTATCAGTAATGAACTTTAGCTTTTGTTCATCTGGAAATGACTCAACTGCCTTCCTCTTTCAGGACTTCAGATGCATCCTTCCTCAACCATTAACCTTATTGAGGATCCCTTATGTAATGAGTTATTTTTCACTAAGTTTACCCCATTTGGGACTCACTAAATTCCTCGGGTGTTTATGTTCATATCTTTCATCTTATTTGTTAAGTTTTCTGCCATTACTTCTTTAGATAGTCTTTCTGCCTCTTTCTTTCTCCTAGAATCTTACAACACATAGGTTCATGTCCCACAGACCCCTTTAGTTTCTACTGTCCTTTTTGTTTTCTGTGCTTCTGAGTAATTTCATCATCTCTTCAAGTCCTCTGACCCCTTCCTTCTTGCTCAAATCCGATGAACAGCCTCTCTAGTCAACTTCTTATCTCAGTGATTATACTGTTTTGCTTTGGAATGTGGTGTGTTTTTATAGTTTGTACCTCTTTAGCTAAGAGTGACATTCTATTCCTCTCTGCTCTTTCCCATGGATTCCTGTATTTCACTGAACAGACAGAGGGTAGTTGAACTGACATCTTTAACCAGTAATTCCAATGCCTAGACTTCCTCAGGAGCAGTTATCTGTCAAACTTTTCTTGTTAAAAGACATACTTTCCTTTTTCTTTTCATATTTTGCAATTTTCTACTGCAAACTGGACCTTCTAAGTACAGTGTGTGGTATCTCAAAATGTAATTCAGCGTCCAGAATTGCTGATTTTTGATCACTGAAGGCTGGAACCATCTGAGATTTTTCCAAACTTCCAGTCAAGTGGGTACTCCTCATGCTGTAGGGTCATTGGAGTTTCTGCTGTTGCCTTTGTGTGAACCTAAGATTCTTTAAATGTCTGGATTACTAAAAGGAGGAAGGGCTCTTTTTAAATCCCCCAATGGCTAGGAACCTGCTTCAGCCTACTGGGTTGGGAACAATGACTGGCCTCTACAATGGCAAAAATGCAAAATAAGCTCCATGTTTTGGAGGACAAAAGTCATTACTGCCCACTGTCAAAAACAAGCATCATCAGCAACCTGGACCACAGTTCCCATAACTGCCTGTTGTAGGGGGGTGGAAAGAGGACCACTGCACAGGAAACAGAAACTTACCTAAGTAGGCAAGCCTCTCCACACTCAGTCCTGGATGCTCTGAATGTCCAGCAAAACTCAAAAGTTCCAAAGCAAGGTTTAAGCATACTTTGCTCGGGTTTTTTTGTTTTGTTTTGTTTTGTTGTTGTCATTTGTTTGTGAAGGGATGGGCTGTGTCCTGCTCTGCTGTCTTTATACCGTCACTCTCTGCTCATCGTCATCTCTTTGGATATGACTTCCTGGCCTACTGTCACCACACAAGCACAGAAGTGGGAATAGTGTATGGACACTTAGACCAATATATTCAAAGCCTTCCAGATAAAGGGGAGAGACAATATACTTTTCACTGGAAAAAAGAACAACCCAAACATTAAAAAGCCGTGTCTTATACTGTTGTCACTCCAGGATGTCACTAGTCACCCCAAGAAGTACCGTGGGGACTGAGGAAATGACTCAGCTGGTAAAGTAACTGCCCTATCAGCTGAGGACCCTAGTTCAGATCCCCAGAAACCATGTAAAAAGCCAGACATTGTGTCATACTCTTACAACCTCATCTCCAAGACAATTATAAGGGAAATATAATGCATGTCTGGATAATGTTACTCCTGAAAGTCTACTAAACAAAACCCCCAGTGCCAAATGTGAGATACCACCTTATGAGTTGCTCATGGAGTCAGAGGTACCTCAAATAATACAAGCCATTGCCATTTCTCTTGGTTGCTTGGAACTTAGCTGGAAGCTTTCCCCATGCTGGCTAGCTTCCATAGGGTTGGAAGATATATATGTGTGTGTGTATATATATATATATATACATATATATGTATATATATGCATATGCTGTTGAGGAAGAAAAGGCACCAACAGTCTTAAATAGCTATGAACCCTAAAAACTATAATACCAATCTGTAAGGCAAGATATATCCATTTATGCAATAGTGGCACAACAGGGTAAATAACTGCTTTCTGATTGGATTTTTGGTCCACTCCAGAAAAGGGAACTTGTGTCTGGTAAAAACTCATGGCTAAGGTAGTCTTAGGCCATAGGGGAAAACTTGTTAGTATTGTTTAGCTAAACTGCCATAGCACTGAGCTGCCTAATAAAATGGCTGCTCAAGGTGCTAAGAATAAGGGATGGTTGAGCACTCAGCCCTAAACAGGATGTTTCTACTACCCACTGGAAGGCTCACAGATCATCACAGAAGAGAGGGTAGGAAGAATGTAAGAGCCAGGGCACAGAGGAAAGGAGCTGTGAAATTCTGTCTTCTGAGCCTGGCATACTCAATGCAGTAATAACTTTATAGCAGCTACCTTCAATTGGTCTAAATAAGACTGGGCCTAGGAAGCTGGAAAGATGCCTCAGCAGTTAAAAATACATGATGCTTTTCAGAGGACCTGGGATCAGTTCCCAGCACCCACATGGCAGCACACAACCATCTGTAACTCTAGTTCCAGGGGAATCTGCTGCCCTATTCTGTCATCCAAGGACACCAGTCAAGCATGTGGTACACAGGCACACATGCAGGCAAAACACCCATACACATAAAATTATTTTTTAAGTAGGGGTTGGATACTAGTCCTATCAACAATCATGGATTGGGGAGGACCTCACAGGGCCCTGTTGAAGTACTGACTACTGATGGATTCTGGAGGAGAGGTGGTTATCGCCTTCAGTTGTGTGCCCACTGAGAAGCCACTAGGCTCGAATGGACAGTTCCAAGTCCATGGTCACACAGACTATCCTAGTTAAACTCAGTGGATCACCAAAACAGAAGGGACTGAATTTGTGAAAGTGACTGAGAAGGAGAGAGGATTGGGGTTATAGTAACCAATATGCTTTATATATGTATAATATGACCAAAGAACACATGCAACAAAAATGTTTAAAAAGTAAAGAGGCACACTCTGGTGGATTAGGGTAGGAGTGTGTAAAGAAAAGTAGATCCCTGGAACTCACTAGTCAGTCAGGCCTAGTCAATGAGCTTCAGGTTCAGTGAACAACCTTTTCTCAAAAAAAAAAAAAAAGTGGGGGAGTGGGGGTAGAGGATTGAGGGCAATGGAGAAAGGAAAAACATCCAATGTGGACCTCTGACTTCCACACCTGGATGCATACACAAACATATATAAACACATAGGGCTGGAGAGATGGCTCAGCCATTAAAGGCTTGGGTCACAACAGAATATACAAACCCACAGAAAAAAGAAGCAGGAGGCAAGGAGGGGGAAAGAAGAGGAAGAGGGAGGAGGAAAAAAAAACCCACTGTAAGATATTGAAGTCATCCTTCCAGTAGTGGCTATGTGGCTAGAATTGGTGAGATCAGGGCACTATGGGCTCATACTCCTAACTGCTGACCAGAGACTGGGGTTCTACCAGGTGTTTGCTCCCTGTTTGTTTTGCAAAGCTGAGTTTTACCTTAGTGGGAGCATGAAACAGTCAATTTTCTGAACTGGGGTGATGACCCAGTAAAGCACTTGCCTTGTAAGCATGAAGGCCTAAATTTGATCCCTAGACATTATACACAAAAGCCAGGAGTGATGGCACACACTAATTTCAGTGCTGCTGGTGAGGTGGAGACAGGTGGAGCCCTAGAGTTTGATGATCTACTAGCCTAATGGCCAAGCCCCAAGTCCCAGAAGAAACCTTGTCTAGAAAACAAGCTACATGACTCCGGAGGAAAGATACCCAGGGCTATCAGGCTGATGGTGGTGTATACACCTTTAATCCCAGCACTCAGGATGCAGAGGTAGGTGGATCTCTGGATCTCTGTGAGTTCAAGGCCAGCTTGTTCTACAAGAACTAGTTTCAGGAAAGGAACCAAAGCTACAGAGAGAACCCCTGTCTCAAAAAAGCAAAAAAAAAAAAAAAACAACAACAAAAACAAAAAAAAACCCAGGGTTAACCTCTGGCCTTCCACAGGTACGCATACATGAGCAAACACAAGCACATACCTGTGTGCATGCACACGCGCGCGCGCGCACACACACACACACACACACACACACACACAAAGAAAAAGAGGACACTTTTTGCAAGTGTTCACTGGTGGCAACCCTCCCCCTAACACCCATCTACTTAGAAATCCCCCTTTCCTTAAATAAGTGAAGTAACATCATAGTCTTTCAATAAAGGTATTGAAATAAATTGGGCTATTTAGTGAAAGGCAAGAATTTTGTGACTCAAGTAAAAAATAAATAGGGCAGGGAAACCAGGGTTCCTAGATTAAAGCAAACAAAAATGTCCAGGCATTGTACGCAAACAATGCAAACTGTCCAGGAAATACCCAAGGATCTCAGGGCAGAGTGTTGTATTTGGTTGGGCCCCACACAGAAGCAGCAGTCTCCAGGACCAGCTGCACAGCTGTCCAATCCCACAGACACTTCCTAGTCACCGCGGCCCTCCTGCCCCAGCTGGCCAGGCTACATCAGCTTCTGAACACTCTTCCCTCCAGACTGTTTGTTCTGGCTGCTCTGGGATGGGGCGTTTCATCAGGAGACAAATGTGAAGGGATAGTGAAGGAACCGAAAATATAGGAAATCAGAACCTGAAGATGTGACCTTCACAACTGTGTCTTAAAAAAAATCTAATGTTACTTCTGAATACTAAGACACCACCATCCAGAAAAGCCAAAGGATGAAATTCAAGCTTTGGATTTCCTATTTCTTAAAACAGAAGATGATTTTCCATTATGATAAACATTTCTTCCACAACAGGAAAGACAACACAAACCTAAGATAAGATTTTCATTAGGAAACAAAGAGCACTCTGTGGCACCAGAAATTAATCATCAGCTAAGGGCATTTGCTGCTATTGCAAAAGCCCCTGGTTTGATTCCCAGAACCTACATGGCAAGTCAGAATCACCTGTAACCCCAGTTCCAGGGGATCCAGTGCCCGCTACTGACTTTTTTGGGCACATGCATATAAATGAGACCATTAAAGATTCTCTTCTGTCTGCCAATTTGAGTTAAATTTCCTCTGAACTCCTAACCCTGTCTTCCACATAGTGACCAGGATCTTTGTGACTCAGATGACATCTTAATCAATGCTAAGAAATGGCAAAAAAAAAAAAAAAAAAGTGTGAGTCCCTTTAAGTTCATTATGTCTCTCCCCTGCACGGATTTAAAACAAAAACACCACCACAAATAAACACAGGAACCAAAACAAAAGTTCAGTTCTCAGCCTTTTAAAAACTTCTATGGCTTCTATTGCCAGCCGATCCCTGGAATTCACTCTTCAGGAATGAATTGCCAGTAGCCTTAGAGGCAACAGTACCTGCCATCCGTACCCACTCTGTGACTGCACCCTCCTTCAGATTCAGAGGACGGCCATGCATGGATCCCATGAGCCCCTTACCGAGCTGACGTCCAGTCTGGGGACTTGAAGTGTCAAAGAGCTCTGAGCTGGCCTCAGGAGCACTTGGCTCCCATGATTCACTGTTCTCAGACATCTCTGAATAGGCATCACCCAGCACTCTATGAACTGCCACAGGCTCTCCAGTTCCAGGGCCCTTGTCCTCACTGCTTGTATCTGCCACAGCCCGGGTCTCTTCACCCATTTTCTCAGCAAACCATTGCTTGACCTGCTGGGCACTCATCTGGGTCTTGTCACAGAGGGTCTGCAAGTCTTCCTCACACAGCATCTTGTGTGTCATGTAATAATCTTGCAGCAGCTCTCGGTTGCCAGGGGCAATGATGAGCAGACCTGGTGGGAAGTTGCCCCTCTTGTAGTCTTCGTACCACTTGAGCTGGCCATTCTTCAGGGCATACCTGCTATCTCCGAACCAGCGTACCACCTCTGGCCGGGGCAGCCCTGTTTGGGCCATGATAGAGTCATAGTCCTGGTTGCTTGGCCACTGTGTCTGGACAAAGAGCTGCCGTAGCAAGTGGCGTTGCTGTGCTGTCTTTTTGTAGCTCACTTTGCCTGGTGGCTGTTCTACTAGCTTGTTTAAGCCATCTTCCTCAGGCTCACAGACACCCAGCCCTGGAAGCTCATTCTTGCCACTGGCTTCAGTGACCCGCAGGTTCTTGAGGTTGATTTTGATGGGGCTGACCTTCCTTTCTGCCAAGGTATGGCTAAGAAACATTTCAGGAGAGCCATTTTCACCAGGAACCCTCAGCTCACTGGCCAACTCTTCATCTCCACCCTCATTTTCAGCACCCTCCTCCTCCTGAGGTACCTGCCCATCAGTCTTCTTGGTCTCCTCAGCATTTACTTTTTTCCGTCTCTCTGAGAACCAGCCATCAATTTCCCTTCGGGTCATTTTGGTTTCACTTCTCAGGCGGTCCAGCTCCTCCTCAGGGGGAAGCGGGTTTTGTGCAAAGCTACTTTCCAGGACTCGCAGCTGCTCTGGGGCTCTCTCTTTGTATTTGGTTGGCGTGAAGTCTGGGGTCTGGTGCCAAGATTGTCGTTTGGTGGCAGGGTGGCTTGCTAGTGAGGTTGCTGTTGGGATACAGGTCACTTCCGGAACTTTGGATGACAGGGAAAAGGGCACCTCTGGCACAGAGTCAATGAGAACAGGGCCATGCTCTCCAGGCATCATGGCCCTAGAGCCCTTCAGGTTCCGGCAGTGGTATCTCCGGTCACTGAACCACTTCCGCACCTCTCTGGTACTGAGACCTGTCACTTTGGTCAGGTGCTCTACTTCACTCTGCCCAGGGAACTGGTTCCGACAGAAGCTTCCTTTCAGAGCTGACAGCTGTTCATGAGACTTCTTGTTTTTGTAGATGCTTGCATCAAGGAAGGCTTGGGAAGTTATGCTGGGGCATGCTGTGAGAAGTGACTGGGCTGCATTGACTACCTTTACAGCTGATGCTGTATTTGAACACACGGTGTTGATGGGTGCCACAGTTGGCTTGGGAACAGATGCAGTTGTCAGAGGGAGAGACGAGCTTGATGCTTGTAACCCATTGGCCATCAATGGCTGAGTGACCAGGAGGCCCCCTGCTGTGCCCTCTGGCTGTCCCACAACATGGCCTGGGAGAGTGGCCTGGATGAGATGCTGTACATTGCCAGTACTGGCAACAAGGGGGGTGTTTAGCACTGTGATAGTGGGTTGAGGCACAGACTGGATGACTGTATTGAACATCTTTTTCCGGGCATCTTCAATCTCCTCAGGAGACCAGCTGATTCCCTGCTTCAGCCTCTGGGCTGTGAACCAGATCTTAAGCTGTTCTTCTGGATACTTGGTCACTACAGTCAAGTAGCAGAGCTCAGCTTTGGTTGGGTAGGGGAATTTGTGGAAGGAGTTTTTCAGAAAGCTGTTGGAGTCCATAGCTGCATTATATGTCGGGATGCTGCTCAGGGGGATCATGACCTTCGGAAGGGCCTTGGATGTGGGCAGGGGCTGGTGGGTATGGTGCTGGGCATGCACTGGGGGCTGCTGCTGGAGGGACAGGAATTGTGCTATACCAGCTGGCAGTACTGGCACCGTTCCTATCAGGGGCCCATTGGCAGCATGTGTGGGCTTTGAGGAGCTAGCAGGTGCCTGACTGACTGGAGCCGCCCCATTGGTGAAAGTGTGGTCCCCCTCTTTAACCTCTGCCTCCCCAGCCAATGGCTTTGGCAAGGCCTCACCCACAGGCTGATTGGGAGCGTTTTCTTTAAGCATATGAATTTTCTTGGCTTCAGCTTTGCCTTTCATTATCTTCATGATTGGTGTCTTGGTAATAATGATTTCAGCCTGTCCATCAGTCCCATCAGTAGTAGACTCACCAGCTAGGTCAGATGTGCTAGTGTTCTCAGGGACATTTTGTTCCACCACTACATGATTGTCTGGCCTGGTCACATTCCACAAAAAGCTGGCTTCCCCTGAGTGACACTTGGCATTGTGTAAGGAAAGCCCCTCAGGGGTTTTTGCCAGGAAACTGCACCCTGTACATATAAAATGTGGGTCTTTATTAAAGTCTGTGTGCTCTGAGTTCATATGCCCTACAAACTGAGTCATGTCCTGGGACCTGAAGTCACAGTCTTTACAGGAATACACATAACCATCCAAAGTGCTCCGGTGCCCATTTGCCAGGGTAGAACCATCAGTGATGCTGGAGTTTGGGGCTGCCTCGCTGCTGGCATCAGGGGCCTCTGAGGGAAGATCCTTCTGGGGACCTTCAGGCAAAGTTTCCACAGGCTGGACCTCTGTGCTGGCACCTTGTAGCACCACGGTCTTAACTGGGATCATGCATGGGGTGGTGGACTTCCTCTTACTGGCCATGGTGACAATCACTCTGGGTGATCAGCAGGCAAGCAGGGCCTTGTAGTACAAATTTCAGCTATTCCATGAGGGCCTGAGAAGTGCTTCTAAAGGTGGCTTTATCGGTTATTTGCAGAAAGCTTCTTTTCCTTGTTAAGCCTGAGGAGGAAGAAAAACTATGATAAAGATCTTGCAGTCTATGAATCTGTTTCTCAGGTCACCACTCATATACCTACTGCTCGCTTACTATCTTATGGGTCTTTTCACAAGAAACTCATGCGTGTGCTTCTTAGCTGTGAGTTCTAAGGCAGGAGTTCCTTGATGTGGGATTCTCCTCTGTATGCTGTGATTACCGCTAATGAATAAAGAAACTGCTTTGACATCTATAGCAGGGCATAATTTAGGTAGGTGGGGAAAACTAAACTGAATGCGGGGAGAAAGAAAGGTGTAGTTAGAAGCCATATAGCCCTGCCGGAGATAGATGCAGGAACTTTTCCCAGTAAGCCACAGTCACGTGGAAATACACAGATTAATAGAAATGGGTTAAATTAATATGTAAGAGTTAGCCAATAAGAAGCTACAGCAAATGGGCCAAGCAATGATTTAATTAATATAGTTTCTTTGTGATTATTTCGGGGCTGAGCAGCCAGGAACCAACAAGCAACCTCACTTCTCACCAACATTCCTTGGAAGCTGTGCTAAGAATGAGCTGGGATGTTCTGTATCATTTGATAAGCTTACATTATATAATTTTTGTTTCTTTTGTTCCCTTTTGCATTTAGTAACTCAGTTTATAAAAAAAGGGGGGGTGGGAAGGAAAACCACCCTCTTTGTATCTAAAAATTAATTCTGACCATTTTGGACTGAGAACAAAAGACCCAGTGTAATTCCTGTTTAAACATTTAAGCCAACAAGGGTTTTCCTTTTCATAGTCTTCCCACATACAAGAACATGAAAATGCCTCTGTCTCCTTCAAACCAGGCCCAGAGACCAAGTCAGTTTCATCCAGGCCTTGCCTTTCCTACCACCTGGATTCCCAAACAAAGCTGTGGTTCCTCCATGTACTTAGGACATTGTCACTTGTGAATTCAAGGATCAGAGGGTCAGGATACCCACATACTCAGTTTGGGTGCAGCAAATAAAGGGAGGCCTCCTTTTATATTCATGTAGTTACTCACAAGAATGTACTTCCTTGTTTTGTATTTTTCATTTTTATTTCTTTTGTTCTTTGTTTGTTTGGTTGGTTTTTTTGTTTGTTTGTTTTGAGACAGGAATTATCTGTGTGGCCTTGACTGTCCTGGATGGAACTCACTTTGTAGACCAGGCTTTTTTTCTTTTTTCTTTTCTTTTTTTTTTTTTTTAAAAAAAAACTATTTTTTTTTTACTATTTTTTTTTACTATTATATTTACTTACTATTAAATCTTTGATGTGCTTGAAGTTAAACAGAGGGCTTACTTACATGTAAGATAACTGTAGTGCTATTTCAGGAGACACCCTGAGAAGGTGTCCCTGTCACCCTGCCCTGTTTGTTAACAGTCTGTCATCAAGGCCTGCTCTTGAGGAGCCACATCCTGTCTCTGGTGTGCACTCTCTTGTTCCCAAGGGCTTTCTCTTCCTACTGATTCTTAGCTTACATCTATATTCATTTTCTTTCTAAAAGTCTGGCCTTTAAAAATATATATATATATATATATACATCACTATCATTAACTTTCTTTATAGCAAATGTTCAAGCTATAATGACTATAAGTATAGTGATTCTTATATTAAATCAAAATTAGTATCAGTGTTTGGATTTGATATAAAATGTACTTAAAATTTAAACATCTTGATTCAAATTCTTATTAAACAAAGATAAGAAACTATTTTTTGGTTGCTAAATCTAGCCTGATGATCATGATGATAAAAGTAACAAAAATTAAAAAGGCTATGATAAAATAAACACACACCCAGGTCTAACCCTTGTCACTGTTTCCACTACCAACCTATCAATGTCAGGAACAAAGTTACTGAATTTAATTACAATTATATCAATAGTACGTGGAGTTTAAGAAATAATACTACCTAATAATAATTCAATATTTGTGTCTAAATATACACATTTTCAATCATAACATATGTATTTCCTTTTCCTCACACTATCACACACATCTTCTTTGTATGGCTTTCATAATTAAAACATTTACTAACAGTCTAATAATGTGCTGCAGTGGACTTAACTGAATCCTGTCAGTGTCACATGAACTTCAACTTCCAATCCTTAGGGGTCACTGTACAAGAAGATCTCAGCTCATACAGAGTATTTTTCCTTCCATAAGTTATTTCCTGAGGGTAAGTGCTCATAAATAGGTTTATTAGCTTATTTATATAGTACATAATTTCTAAGTACCTTTAAATAGAATTAGCAAATATCCTAAAGTGCTTTAACTAAGTGACAAATATAAGAATGGCACACAATTCTGCTTCTCTAGTGAGCACATCAGCCTTTTGTATAAGCCATGGAAGGCCTCAGACAGAATCAAAGTACAAGTAAAAGAAGAAAATGACAGATCAACAGATTCACCAAAAGTAAAAATGGACTTCAACAGTCACTGTCAATAAAGTTACAAGGTGTGGCTGGAGATGAAGATAGTGTTAGAATGCTTTCTGACATTCATGAGGAACTGAGCTTAAACCTCAGCACAAAAAGGAGCTTTGAAAATAATATATCTGATAAGACATACCTGGAATATATATGAAGATATTTTACAACTTAAGAAAAAGACAATCTAGTTAAAAATGAATAAAGGATTTGGTCAGACTTTTCCCCAAAGACAAACAAATGAAGTGTAAGTACATTTAAAGGAGCTCAATGTTGTCGGAGGCTGTTCGTTCATTTCCCGACCACCCTGACTCGAAATAATCACACAGAAACTATATTATTTGTAATACTGTTTGGCCAATAGCTTAAGCATATTTTTAGCTAGCTCTTATATCCCAAACTAACCCATTTTTATTAATCTGTGTATTGCCATGAGGTCATGCCCTATCGGCAAAGTTTTGGCAGGCTCCAGGGGAGGCGTCCTCTGGCGGTGGCTACATGGCTTCTCGCTCACTCCACCTTCCCCCGACCCCAGCATTTAGTTTAGTTTTCCCGCCTAGCTCTGTTCTGCTAAGCCACTGACTGAAACAGCTTTATTCATTAATCAATAAAAGCAAAACATAGACAGAAAGACTTTCCACACCACTCAGCATTGGCAAACATGGTGGTGCACATCTTTAATCCCAGCACTTGGGAAGAAGAGGCAGGTGGGTCTGTATGAGTTCAAAGTCTGTGTGATCTACAAAGTGAGTTTCAGGACAACCAGAGCTACAGAGTGAGACCCTGTCTCAAAAAATAAAAACAAAACTAATAATAAAATAATCCCCTGTACTGGGCCAGGACAACTACAGCCACACTGTACAGAACAAATACTGATGAGAATGGGAAGAAACTGGAGCGTTCCCTGTTACTAACAAGAATGTAAAATGGTGTAGCTACTTTGAACAAAAGATTTTGGCAATTCTTCAAAAAGCTACATACATAGTTGCTAAATTTATCCAGCAGTTCCACTCCTGGACATACCTAAAAGGGAATGGACTGCCCACACAAAAGCACACACAACTTTACTATCCTCTCCCTGTGGCATCCTTCCTAACGGTAACCGATAAACGGGTCAATGGGTGAAACTTCCAGGTAATAGAATTTTTTATGCCATAAAAGCGATTGGCATTTTTCTGGATTTTGTTTTACTCTTTTGAAGCATGATTTTGCTATATAGTTGGGCTGGAATAAAATTCATGATTCTGTCTCATCCTCTTATGTATTTGCCATAATATCTGGTGGAGGAGAGGTTTAATACATACTGAAACATAATAAACCTGAAAACATTATACTAAGTGAAAGAAAGATGGAGATCCATCAACTGGAAGATGCACCACCAGCTAGAAGAGAGCTTGGGCTCACCACAAGCCCAGACAGCCAGCAGAATTCAGTATCAGGTAATGCAGGACCTTGTCTCCATGACACAAATGCAAAGGCACAGGGTCAGTGCTGCTCTTTGTGATGGGGACTACTGGGTTTCATTGAGTAGCAGGTAAATAATGTCTCCAGTGTTTTATTTAAAAACAATCGGAGCAATAGTACAAGTAGGGGAAGGTGCATGAGCATGTGTGTGTGTGTATGTGTGTATGTGCACGTGTGTATGTGTGTATGTGCACGTGTGCATGAACTCCCAAGATTGGCATCACATGTCTTCATTGTTAACATTCTACCTTTATATACTGAGGCAGGGTTCCTTGCTGAACCTGGAGATTGCTGTTTTGGCTAGTTTGGCTAGCCAGCTTGCTCTAGGAATACCATGTCCATCACCTGTATGATGTGATTACAGGCTACTGCCACAGTCACCTAACTTTCATGTGGATTTTGGGAATCTGAACTCTGGTCTTCATGCTTGCATGAAAAACGTTTTACCCAATAAGAAATTTGAGTAAGATGATTAAATACATTAGCAATACAAATAAATCATAAATTTCCCCATATGACAGAAATGACTGGTTAGAGAAATGGAGGGAAAGTTCATTTACATTAACAATCAAAGCTCTAAAACTTGAAAAATAAGCACAAAGCTTTAATAAAAACAAAAAAGGAAACCTAGTAAGAGTCAAAGCTTATACCTGAAAGTAAAGATTCAGAACTATAGTGATAGCAGGACTTTCCAGAGCGATGTTGGATTTCAGTGGACTATATATAATCAGTCAAGATATCACCAGACAAATGGAGATGTTGCTGGTATAATCTAGGTGATGAGTATGTGGATGCTTTCCCTATGTCTTTCAATTTTTTCTCTTTGTTCAACACTTTATTTTTAAAAGTGTTGGAGAGAAATGTCCTAAGAATTCTTCATGGAATTTGACAAACTGAATCAGAATTGTCCTTTCAGGAGAAAGGGTAAAAAACAGCTTTACATTTTTGAGACAGAACAGTAAAAGGGGCTTGTTTTTAGCCAGAAACTGAAATTTAAAACTGAATGACTAAAGAGGCATGTTATGAAGATATTTTAACAGATGAAGGGGTTATTAAGTTACTAAATGATCAATATTGATGGATACTTTCTTTTTTATGATTTATTATTATGTA